TTCAAGGTGTAGAGAACATAACGGGTCAGTATTTTTCGTATATTTGCACATATTGCACGTATACCATAAATTTTGTGTTTTTAAAAGTTTCCGAAACCATGAGTTTCACACGTCTAATTGGGGCCATGCATTTTCATAATTAGTTTAGTTGCTAGCATTTTCGGTTGCTTAACTACGAAATTGTGTGACAGACACCTACGTTGATCCGTGTTTCTATGAGATTTGCAAACATATTATGCGTATTACAAAAGAGTGGTGCAACAGAGAACACATAAATGCTTGAGAAAATGCAGCATACTGTTCATCTGAATGACGAACAAACTATTGTTTGTTTTGCCCTTTACTTTCGGATTCGCAGGTAAGCCAATATGCTGAAGTGCAAGACTTGCAAAGTATCTTGTAGTTGTTTTAGCAACCTTCTGTTATCCCCATCATATTCACGTTTAAACCAATGCAAGAATGCTTTTGGCACTGGTGTAGGACGATGCTTTCACGTTAGCATCGATAGACGCAAATTAATGCACAGGGGACGACAAACATCGGGACCCAAAAATTAGTGAGTCGCGTCAAATCGTAACTAGGTTAGCTGCTGACAATGGGATGCAGTCACAGAAGTTTATATTCGTTTGCTTTCTGTAACTGGTGTACAGGTGAGACGAAGTTTTAATGTGAGGCCACCAGCAAATCATGCGATCGGAGGACATGCAGCGAGTGCATAAAAATGAGGCACGGATATCAGCAAACCAAACCGACGCTTTGCGTCTGAATTATTCCGGGAGATTTCTAGACGTGGCTGCGGGTATCTTCCAACCGCATTTTCAGTAAACTATCACGAAATTTGAAATCACAACCGGATATTTGAAATGTATTCATTGTAAAACTGTTATTGACTCGAAGGTAGTGAAAACAATATTTCACTAGTTTACGAAAACGTCTATCGGCAACAGCGAAATTGATGGAAGTTTTGAGTTTTATGTACTATTTTTCGATGACATTACTAGTAGCTCATAAACAGTTATGAAAACAGATTAGAAATATTCACTCCTCATTTTGGTTGGATAACCCGGAATGGGAAAGTCAATGTATATATACACATATATTTTTGAGCCTATATAGAATATGTGTTGCCTATATAGCGGTGACAGGGTGCATTAATTAATATTCTGTGAAATGTTAATTTCGCCTCCTCAGAAGGTAATAAGTTATGTGTTAATTACCAATGTGTAATTCATAATGTCCTAATATTTTTGGGAGCGGTCATGGTCAAGGTTCATCAAGAGTTCCAACGGATCTATTCTTAAGGATTCTTGCTTCAATGCCAGGATTTTGCAACGTCCAATTGGAGTTCAAATGTCTGCGTTTTTAAATAAGCCTCTACACAACCTTTAATTGGTATTGCATTCGCTGCCGAGTGAGGTTTTCAATGACGCCTGCAAATATATATCCGCTTTGTTTTTGGTTTGTTCATTTAATCTGCCAAAGCGCTTCCACTTCATCACCAACCAGGCTAGCAGACTTATTTGAATTTCCACAACGCTTGTGTGCTTGTGAACCCTAGTTCTAATTCACACAATCCCCCGCTGTTCAAAGTGGCATTAGATTTTCATTTCTTAAATGTTCACCAAGACATCAAATGAAATTTTTCGGAAACCCATTTCCCCGAGAATCTGTAAGCATCCAAGTGCCATGCTGACTAGAATAATCGTATTTCTGGTGCATGCTTGTGTAACAGTACCATAAAGCTTCATGTTAATCTCGAGTTACCTTCCATTCTTAAAATTTTTTTTAAACAACGCAGCGCTTACGTTTACGCTGTAAACGCAAATTAATTTTCTGCACTGACTGTCCATCTAATTTGGCTTTTTTATTTTTTTGCGGATAGGAAATCGGAAAAATGTGAAATCTTAGGAGTTTATTCCTGTAATACGTCCTACTCTGCGGATGCAATCTGGTGGACAATTGTCCTACACGTGGTAATTTTCATGTATTATTATAAAACAAAAAAAAATAGAGGTGAATACCTTCTTTAAGCCGAAGCAATTTCGTAATCATCACTCATTTCTGAACGACCGAATCCCGCAACCCGTTCAAACCAATTAACGGAGCAAGCATGCTGGTCCCGGAAAAAAAAACAAATAAATTGCACATTCAAACTAACACCCAATTAGCAATCATGCAAGCACACTCTGGAGCACGCGAAATATATTACCGTGAAGTTTGAGATTTTATTGCACGATCAGTGCTTGTTCCGTAATCTGCTTATTTTCACACGCATGTCAGCCGGCGTTTGTTAGATCTGTTTGATTGCATTTACACAAGGGAGTCTGCCCCAGTTAACTGAAGAGGGTCATTGATAATGTCCAATTTCAAAAGAAGGTGTCATATTGAGTGTGGCAACGGCAGGAGGGTCAGCTTGACCACAGTCTTCACGGGGAATCTTTAGACACTGACTCAAAGGCAGCAAGCACGATTCCGGCGTCATCGGTGTCGCTTTGACCAAATCCTCACGTTTCATGTGCCAGACCGACGCACAATACTAGTATTCATGTATTTCCAATGCGCTTTTGACTCGGCCGACTAGTCTGTTCTAATTTATACGCTCGCCTACCAAGAAATGCTAAAGTAGTTTGTGAACACAATAAGCGGTTTGTATTCTCAGAGTCTCCGACGTGTGAGAAAATTCAAGGAGCTCCCTAGAAACTCTCGTACACAAAGTGATGCCAATCATGTATGCCCATCGTCCCCATCCCTGTTCAAGTTTGCGATCAGTGGAAGCATGGAACGAACGCTAGGAGGTGTCTCAAACACACGTGTTGAAATATTCTCTAACGAAAATCGTATCGGTCTGGAATACGTAGATAATATTTTCCTCATCTTTGTAGATGAGGAAAAGGTGCGAGGGCTTTTGAATGAACTGAATGCACCCCTTATGCACTTCACACCTATAAAGTGTAAGGTCATGCTGTTGGACATGCAGTCACTGAGCATGCGAACTACAAGCCACGGGGTAGCTGCGCGAGGTTGTGGAGCATTTATTTATCTTGGATGCTGTCTTCTTTGCGAGTGTAGTGTCACGAATGAGATCCATGCACAAATCTGTAAGGCTCGGGTCGCGGTTGCCAATTTGAAACACACATGGCGTCAAAGTGGTGTATCCCTGGATCGTCAGAGACCTGTATATCAAGCCGTTTTGTTGTACGGCTGTGAGATTTTTTCTTTTGGAGCAGCGGAACTGAGACGTCTCACGTTGTTTGAAAGTCATTGTCTCAAAACCACAATTCGTGTGTGTTGTTGTCGGCGTATCCGCAACTAGGCAGTTGTTAGGCGCGTATTCGGTTTTGCAATGATTCCTCGCAATAAAACATTTGTCCAGCAAAAGAAGCTGCGTTGGTTGGGACATGCGTTGCCTGTGCTGAGTTATCGTTTGCGAAGGAGAATGTAGATTTCGATGCCAAATTCAGAGTGACAGAACCAGAAAGGTGGCCAATCCTTGAGTGGGTAGATGGGTATGAAATAAAACAAGAAACGTTTGGTGCTGTTGGCTTTTCTCGCCTTTAGGACGGGGCCCGTGCGATCTTTACGGCACTGTAAGTTATGGATGCTAACTGATGGCAGTGACGATCTTGTTGTTAGTTTCTATCCGGATTACCTGAATGACTGTTTGAGATGAAGTCACCCCGGAATGATTGTAGTAAGCTAGCGCTAGGTCCCTTTTACCGTCCATGTTCATTCTTGACTTCACAAAATGGCTTGCAGTTATTTCACGAAGCTTCATGCTAGAGTCATGTGGTCAAAAATGATGCATTAGTTTCTATCGGATTACCTGAATGACTGTTTGAGATGAAGTCACCCCGGAATGATTGTAGTAAGCTAGCGCTAGGTCCCTTTTACCGTCCATGTTCATTCTTGACTTCACAAAATGGCTTGCAGTTATTTCACGAAGCTTCATGCTAGAGTCATGTGGTCAAAAATGATGCATCCGGAAAAGTCAGATGAGGTTTAATTTTCCCCGTTGATGTTTACGGCGAATAACTTATAAAGCTCTGTGGTGCCTTTCTGAGACGGAGCAAACCAAGTTATACAATGTCCACAGCTATCTGGAACAAGGGCGATTATATGCACCATAATATTAATGATGTTAGCGTACCCGATGAACTGGACGTCAGGTTGTTGAAACCTTGGAACATTGATATAGTGAATACTACTTGCTCAGCACAAAATTGCGGTTCCTAGTCACCGCGTTTCGCGATGGAAGAATAATGCCCGGGATGCTGTCAACCTGCGGAAGTACATCGCAAGCGTGTATGGTTGCAAAAAATAGACTCCCAAAAATTCCCAATGTCACCCTTTTATTACTGATTTACATAGAGCTCGGAAACCAAAAACATACTTATTAAGGGCATCCAATAAACAAGATTTGCGGAAAGGGTGTCTAGTAGATTGAGGACAATAGCATCTTGAAGATAACCATGCCAAAGTGCAGATTCACGATTCATTTTTCGTCGTATGTTTCTTAATTTGTGTGTCTTGCTTAAAATGGAGATCTTTTTTTACAGCTAGTAAAACACAGACAGCTGAGCAAATTGCTGGAAGCTTGGGGTTTGAACCATCGAAACGTCTGAATATCTTGACGAAAATCTTTTGTCTGATTTGTCAATCTGCATGGTTCCTTATTTGTGTAATTCTTCACAACGGTGCACGAACGGTGAGATTTTGGAACAAACATAGTTCACGCCATAAGAAAGCAAACTTCAGTGTAATATCTTTCATTGCACTTCGGAGCGTGTTTGCATAATCAGCGATCGGGGGTTTTCTTAAAGTGCACGTTATGTGTTTCATGTGTGGATGGGGCCCCCGTGATATGTTAAGCTAAAATTTTGGATTAGCCTGTGGTATTCGGCCTTCAGAAACTAGTGATGAGTACGCAATCGATGTTCCATACATTTTCCCAAAGAACTTCAAGGAAGCGTTTTTTTCTATGGTATTTTATGCTTTCCAGTAATCCAAGCAACTTGCCATATTCGGGACATGTGTTCAATAGTTGCAATGGAAACAGTTCAACTTATTACAATGATAAACTTCAACATAAGTAAGTATATCTTAGGAAAACACTTTTTTTCCATTTTCTGTGCGGAAAACATGAAACAAATTCATTAAGGTTCACTTAGGTAAACAGCTTAAATGTACGCGCTGTGTTGTTCAACCCAATTGTAGGCAATGAACGGATAACTCAGAATCAAATTGAAGCATCAGCAACATTACAAATAATCACGTACCAAAGATACATCAATTTACGTCAGCATGGCTCCTGGATGACTATAGCTCCTCCGAGGAACAAGTTCGCCGGAACATTTTACTTGATAAACGGACAAACGTCTGGATGTCAAATGCGTATTGAGTTTTTTAGCGGCAGAGACATTGTGCGGATTAGAGCTTGGGCCACCAAGCATAATAATATGACCGGTTGCGTACCAGAGATTCAAATACTCTCGTCAAACTAGTTCATGCGAAATGGGAGCTGTTTATCAGCTTAAAGAAAAACAAAGTTATATTGACCACCAATTTGAGGGTGTCATCTAATCTTCTATTTGGCAGAAAACAGAAATCCTATTTCAGTGATTCTGCAGCTTACGACTTGTAATTTGTACTTTATCAATACATCTCAGTAAACTGGCAAATATCTTCATATTGTGCATGTTCCTTCACATAATGGACTGTACGTATCCCACTTGTTTGTTATTATTGCCGAGGGATAAATGAGGGAATTATGATTCCCCACAAAATTGACGGGTACGCTGAATATAAGAAAAATGCTGAACCACCGTATTTTTTCTTCACTGAATACGACATTAAGTAATATCTAGCAAACCTGAAAGTAAGGCTCACGTCCACCCAAACACTCTTGGAGTGAGGATGTTGTCACGTTGAACTTGCGAAAAACAAACGCAAAGATACCTAGAATACTTCCGCAAGTAGCGGCCCATTTCGCTATGTTTGGTCACTTGGGATTTATGCTGTATCTGGACAGAAACGGAGTTATTCACGTGAATCCAGTACTTACACAATGATCGTTTGCGCAAATGATGTGCGCAATGATTCGAAAGGTAGACATTGGATTTGATCAGATGAAGTATGATGACGGAAAGACCCACAGAGTGTTAACGAAAAACCATGCGTGTAAATTTAACGGTAGTTCGTTTAGAAAAGTGGAGTGGACGTGACAAAATCGTGCCATTATGGGTACAGCATTAATTGTATTGAATTTGTCGGATAACTTGAAAAACCCTGGTCATGGTCACTCCTTTTACCATCCACATACTATCTGCGACACTGCAAGTTAACGTATCACCTATTACCTTTTCAACATACAACATAATACATCCCACCAAGCAACATTCTACTACTGTTCACTTATATTTTTGTACTCGTTGATGTAGTCCACGTGTTTTGATATGAATTAGATGACATTTCCAAGCAGGTTCAAAATTGTCCTAAAGTTTTCACTGGATTTCAACACAAAATAGAAAAAAAGACAATGTCTTCCTGGTGAGCGACAGTATTCACGCACAAACGGATAATTATACGTGACGCTTCCTGTTGCAACATCAAGCTTCAAGGTTGAATTTTTTAGTTCCCCTTTTAATAATAAAGAAAAATGTGCGAGCATAGTCGCTAATTGTAGGATATTTCTAGCCTCGTATTTTGAGATATGTTTGAAAAACTCCTACACCAATAGTCTTCTCACGATTTCTCTGATTTGATAGTGAACACCATGCTAATGAGCCATAAAACTTGAAAATGGAGCAAAGTTTTGTTTATGCAGAATACCAATAAGCTGATATTCAGTTGTGCCATAATTTATTCCACAAGATACCTGGCTAAAGATAGAAAAAAATAAGCGCTACAACAAGCTGAGGACACCATCGAAGCGGCATGTTTCGTTCCTTGGTAAACAAGACAGGAAAACTCTTGGTAATAGATCAGGTGGCTGCTGATCTGTTCGGCGAGCTTGGCAATTGATTTGCAAACCTTTCGTCACCATTCGAGGAGACATCTTCAGTGCGCTGTTGGTTGAAGATGTCTCCTCGAATGGTGACGAAACGTTTGCAAATCAATTGCCAAGCTTGGCGAACAGATCAACAGCCACCTGATAAATTACCAACCTACCAATATTCCAAAACATTACCAACAGGAAAACTCTAAAACTTTCTAACATTTTTAGCTGGAAGAAATTATAGAAACCTCAGCGGAACAACTTTATTACTAAATATGTGTAACGGTAGCAATTTTCGCCTTTAGATGCTTTAGCAACAAACAAAATACTGTGCTCCAATGTGCCCGATGAGCTACCAATTCTTCTTAACTGGCGGCAAAATTAGCGAAACAGCCATGTCATGCAAGTTTTGCTATCTGTTGCGTAAAATAATTTCCAGAATTTATGTTTGCAATGTAGTGCGTATAACCGTGTGTGGGCGAGAAAATGAGTGAATGCTTTTAACCGGTTTTCATAATTAGACATGAATTACTCTTCTAATTGGGAACAATCAAGAAAACCCAAGATTCTTCTCAGTCTTTCTGCAGACAACAAACTTTGCGGTAAACTTGGAAAATAGTTCATTACTTCCATAGCATCAAAATGTTCCACGTCAATTGAATTTAAAATGTTCTGCTGTAGTTCCAATTTTCGGAACGTTTATTTCGAAAGAACCGGCACCATGTCTGGAAAACTCTTCGAATAATTCGGAGGCAAGTCGTCTTTCAGGTTCGCTATATGCCTTGCCTGATCTTTTGCGCACCTCTGCTATGTCCTACAACCGCGGGTTTTGCTGGTGGTCTCTCATACTTCGTTTTACTTGCTAACCATTTTTCAGAAAACAAACGAATACACACTCACGTATTTCTGTCTGATTTGCGGCTCCCACCTTTTGTGGAAGAATATTTTGTTCACCCGATAACAAGCATACAAATAAGACAAATTTTACTATTTTGTATACATTACATTACGTTCATGAATGCGAATGTGAAAAAATGGTGCGACGTCAGTGCCACTGACATTGCGCCTTTACACTCGGTGTTGGTTAAAGTAACTATTATGATGATAATAAAAGTTTGTTCAAGCCAGGTCAGCATATAATGCAAACTATGCACTTAAGCAAATTGTCTCACTCAGGTACCGGGAAACGAAGAGCAGAACAAACTATAGTTTGTGCGTCATTGTTAATTCAGATGAACATTTCATCGGGTGCTTATATGTTTCCTGTGTCGCAAGGTTCTTTTGTCACAAGCATGACATGTTTGATACGCTAATTGAAGCACGGATCCCAATTATGTTTGTTAGCAAATTTGGTGGTTGCTCAATTATTCTATGATTCAATACACGTATAGCGTCGGCGTCTGCCGCATGCGTTTGGAGAAGTAGGATCATTATCAACAGATGAAATTCTTGATGATAGATTTTCCCCTCTAGGAAATACGGATGCTCAATTGTTTCTCTCTGAAACTGGTGTTCCCTGAAAGCGATTTTTAATACTTGGTGAAGAAACGTTTAGTAGACAATACGTTCCTGAAGTGTGCAACAGACCACGCATGTGAGATAAACTTTTATCACAGATTGCTTTCCTGAAACGTATTCCTCGAGAAAATTTAGTGGCTATTAGATAAAAGTGGGGTATTTGTTGAAATCTGTATAATTAAAAGGTTTCTATGGGAAAACTGAGTATTCACGTGACGATGGAGGCAAAACAAATTAGAGCTATTCATTTTCTTCTCACGTGGAGAGGTCGATCCAATTAACCAAGGATTGTAAAAGGTTTCTCGGGATTTCCGTCTGCGCCGGTGGAGTACTGTAACATTCACGCCTAGAATGTCAGATTCGTTCCGTTAAAATCCCGGTACAGGCGTTGGTTTTGCATTGGCGATGCGCTCTGATAAGAGCACAACCGCGGGAAATGCTCAGCAAACCTTGATGCTGGTTAAGCCAAATGGCTGCGTGAGGACGGGAGGAGAGTGATGTCAGCGTAGATTCGACAAAATCAAAAAAGCACTTACCAGAAATATATGCTTAAATCTGGACTACAGGAACTACCTAAAATCAAACTGACATCGATGAACTACACCCGCTCTGATACACAACCGCGGGAAATGCTCAGCAAACCTTGATGCTGGTTAAGCCAAATGGCTGCGTGAGGACGGGAGGAGAGTGATGTCAGCGTAGATTCGACAAAATCAAAAAAGCACTTACCAGAAATATATGCTTAAATCTGGACTACAGGAACTACCTAAAATCAAACTGACATCGATGAACTACACCTGCCTACCTCCAAAGCCATCCCAGGGAATTTTCGGCATTATTTTGCAGCTTTGTCAATTTTTTTTAGAAAATAAAACCTACCCATCTTCAGAGATCGCCTAAATTTCTTCAGGGGAAATCACTTGTGCAACCTATGAAGGATACGTAAAACCAGGGGTAAGCGTTCTGTTGGAGCAAGTTTCAATGAATTTTCAACAGCATGGTCACAAACACAAAACATAAATGTAAGTCATGAATGCAAAAGCGTAACAGGGTAATATGTGATAACAGGGAGGAGCGTATAATTTATAGTAATGCCACCAACATTTCCATTCAGGTGAGATGAATCCCAATGATTTTAGTAAAACCAATACAATTCGTTACGCTTGATTGGCAAATCTGCTTGATGCGTTCAATGGGGTGACGCAATTATTGCTCAAATAGGTCCACGCACAGAGCGGAAATATCAAACACAGTATTTGGTCAAAAACTTCATTCATTTATTTCCTTCGGTACTCCCAGATCTAGGGACTCAGACTATTACATTAGTGACGTCAATGGTACGTTGGTTGGAACCCAAATTATAACAAAATGGGTTACATTATTTTGAGAAAATTGGCTTTGCATCCGAATTTCAGCTTCGAGTTTTATCAAACAATATTACTACGGTACACTTAAAATTCGTTTTCCAATAGTAATTTTTTTGCTCGCAGAGTCAAAATTGTTACACTGGGTAACCCTATTAGCTATAAAGTGTTTGCTTGATTCTCGGGTGTTACGGAGGCTGCAGGAATTGATGC